GGGGAGGATGAGGCCCAGGGGAGGAGGGGAGCAGCCAGAGACTGGAATCCAGGCCACAGTGTGTGGAGATGAGTGGGGGTCACTCCACCGGCAGGGAAGGGCGCCCCAAGGGTATGAGCAGCAGACACACTGCCAGCTGCACCAGGCAACTCAAACAGGCTGGGTCTGGGACCCTACTTTACTCCTGAAGCACTAGATACAGATCAGGCCAGCCGCACAAGGAGCTCCAGAGCTGCTCAGAGACCTGGAAAAGCCTGCCACCCTGCTGGGATCAAAAACAGCAAAACAAGCAAATCCTCCACAGTCAAAGAAGCGGGCAAGCAGTGTTTCTCTTCAGCTTCACATACTATTCTAAGAAAACACATCCAGAGCAGCTGCTGAGAGCAAAGAGCTCCACCTGGGCTTCAGCGCAGCAGACCACACTGGCACATTCTTCTGAAAAGATGGGTCCATAGCACGCCCTAGGGCGGTTCTGTGTTCCACACAAAGCCACTGCACAGACACTGTGTTTATGGGCTGTTTTCCACCTCAGCTCAAGGCCCTCCCCAGCACAGCACTGGATAGGCGGGCCAGGAAGACACCCGGGGACGGGCTCCTCCCACCACTGCCCACAGAAGAGCGTGGGGGACCCTCAGGAAGGCTCTGTCACTCTGGGGACATCTGGTGAGACACTGGCAAGCTGAGCAGGAACTGGGTTCGAGTCTGCCGTACCCACACTCCCAGCCCACACAGCTGCGAGGATGACGCAGCCCTGGGCCGTGAAAAGCACCCCTTCTTCCCACCTCCTCTTCCAGCATCGGGGCGACACAGCACACAGGAGGTCCAGTGTGCCTGCCACAGGCGGCCTTTCAAGGCTGTCCGCCCACCTGGGGATGAGCTCGGCCCTCTCCTCCCAGCCAGAACACTGGGGAGGCTGGCGGGACAGAAAGAGCCGGTCCCACCCACAGGGCCTCCTCCCAGGCAGGAAGCCCCGCCAAGCCGCTTCTCAATAGGTGCATTCAGGGGGCTGGGAGGGGTCACTCACAAAGGCCTCCGTCAGTCAGCCTGCCCTTCCTCTCCTCTCGGCCCTCACCCCATGCCACTGCTGGGCTCCGGCCAGGCTCTCCCCCAGGCCCCAAAAGGATCGCTCCTGCCCAGCAGCCTTCAGCAGCTTCTCCGTCACCAGCACTGCTTCAGAAAGTGGTGAGATATTGAGACCATTGTACTTAAAGCCAGGGGAGGGTTCTGAGGAGAATAATGCCAATGTGGCTCTTATTGCGGTAATTTATTTTAAATTTAAGCATTCACTACATATTTTGATCGTCCCTTGTACAGAGCCCAGGAACTCAGAACATACTTGGGCTGGGTTTAAATCCCACGGTGGGGGCCGGGGATTTAGCTCAGCAGTTCCGCCATCTGCCTTGCAAACGCAAGGACCTGAGTTCAATCCCCAGTACCAAAAAAAAAAAAAAATTTCCCACAGCGGGATCAGGACAGTACCCACACTCAGGTGAGAGCGGTGGTGACAGAGAAGACACAGCTAACATGCTCAGAATGAAAACAGATGTGTTCATTACGCGGTCGATGTCAACTCTGAACACCCTATTCCTCCCCAGGCTGAGGCTGGCAACACAGTTGGCTCATGCATTCTCGGGGGTTCTGCCAAAGGCAAAAAGCGGGACACTGACTGTGGCTGTCTGAGACCCGGGGGTGCTCAACATGACGAAACCCACACCGCGGCTCCAATCGCCTCTGCTCCTACAGCAGCCTCTCCCACGAGCCCCCCAGAGAGAGCCTTCTGTCTGCACAGTTCCAGACTTTGTCTCTGGGTCTGAGGCTTAATTCCGCCAGGACCAATAACTTCTCCGGACCAGAGATGGCACCACAGACATCACATGGGGACAGAGTCCCCGGCAGTTTCCAGGTTCCAAGTCTCCAGCGTCTGCCACGCACTTCACCAACACACAGCCTCCAACTGTCGCCTTCGACTCGTGGATCCGTGCTTCAGAAAAATGGCTCGGGCCAGTGCCAGAGTGCCCACCTCGCCTGCACTGTGTCCAGCACCGCAACCATGCAGAACACAAATGCGATCGGTCGGCTGTAATGCGTGGAGCCAGCTCCCGGCTCCCTCCCCTCCTGCTGGCCGGGTTCTAAGGGGATGAGAGCCGCCCTCCTGAGCAGGGCTGCCATTGCGTCCCAGCCCAGGAAGGCCAGGCTGCCCACTCGTGCTGCCCAGTCACACACGGGCTGAGCGCAAGTCAGTCTAAGTCACTGAGCTCACTGCAGTGAGGCACACTGCCAAGCGTGCCAGGTAAGTGTGCTCGGCCAAACTGGGAGGGCAGGGGGCTCACACCAATGCGTCTTTGCAATAAACATGTTTTTTAAACTAAGAAAATAATTTACTTGAAGGTTAAGAAAATGATCAATGGCTACTTGACAAGTAGGGAGCAATGAAAGGGAAACACTCAAGGACCCTCATCTACGGCTCCTTTTTATTGTGATCCTTGTCCCAAGCAGGCTCCTGGATTCTTCCTGTCTCCGAGGTGCAGCAGACACCCCTGCCCAGTACTAGCGGGCCATGAGTGGTGCATGCTCCTGGCATTCCCTAATCCGGCCGTACTGTTTTATATCCCAAGTCAGAACGAAGCCCTGTGTGACTCACACAGACATGTCAGCTAGCAGAGTTGGGCTACTCTTGCTCCTTTGCTAATGGCTGTCACCGAGGCCCAAGTCCTGGTCTGTGGAGCGGCAGGGCTCTGCTGAGTCACGTGCAGCTGAGGTCAGCGTGACCCCAATTAAAACCCGTTCCCCTGAATTATGGCTTCTCACTGACCCTGTGGGTCGCTTGCTAATTGCACCTGGTCCCAGTACTCATTTCCTCTGTCCTAGCAAGATAAGCAGCGCCTCCTCCCGACAGCCCTGGCTGGCACCATCATGCCAGGTGTTCGGCAGTCATTCACTAGATGCCTTCGAAGCTCCCCAGCTCCCCACTCCTTCCCACGATTGTGTTCAAGAAATACTGGATGTGCTTGGGTCTTTGCTGCCATCAGCGGCACTGACGAGGACCCAAGATTCAGTTTCACTCTAAGTCTTGTTCCACCTGCTCTGTAACCTCTAGCTGGTGCTGTGGTGGCGCACGGGAGGCTGGGACCTGCTGCAGGGGTCTCCCGCGACATCCATTCCCCCGACCCTCACACCCTGGCTGTCTTTGGCACCCCCTTGGATGTCTTCCGATCATATGACCTTTCCTGTTGTCCTGTGGGAGCTGGGATTGTGGGTGGGGCTTAAGGACCTTGCTGAGCTTCGTTTCTTTGCCTTCATCTTTCCGATTGCTGGAGCCTACTTTGCAGAGGCAGAGGCCACCACCCTTAAACTCTCCACTCACAACTCCAGCAACACTCAGCGAGGCCGTCACCCTATCTTTTCCTGACCTACATGGCCCGTCCCTACAACTCCCCATGCTGAGACAGCCAGCCAACTGCTGTCCAAGAACCGGCAACGACCGATCTGGCTTCTCCAAGTGGAACAGGGTTGTTGTGGGGAGCAGCGGGTGGGAGACTTTACCAGGACGATCATCTGGGCCTGGCAGGAGAAGGCCAGCACCTTTACAGTGGGTCCCATGTGCAGGATCACTTGGCATTAGGCAGCCTCTGGGCAAGAACAGGCAAGATTTACCAAGAGATGAAAGAGTGTGTAGCCAAAACACGAGCAACAGGACAGAAAGGCAGACTGGGGAGGAGCCATGGCCCACACTGCTGTTAAAAGGCTGGAAGAGCAACTGTAACCAGCTGGCCCTGCCCCTGTCTGCCCAGCCCTTTTGTAGTTACTCATATGTATGACTAGCTCTGTCCTCCGGCTGTGGGAGCTCAAGACCAAGTTAAGGTAGATGTCTTCGATCACAATTCACCTCCTGAAGTACACCAAGGCCATTAGTCCCCTCCGTCATTACTTCGAGGCCTTGGTCAAAGCCCCTTACCTCTTCAGTTCTGTCACATGCGCCGTATACCAGCCTGGGTCATGGTCTGTGCTGGACCACAGGGCGCTCTTCAGAAGCACAAGAACATTTTTCCTTCCATGAGCCCCCCCTCCTGGCATGACACAGCCTGGCCAAGTCCTGTCTTCTGGGGTCCAGCAGTCTCCCTGCTCGGGGGTCAGGTGACTCACCAAAGCTGCGGGATCCCATAGAAATGTCCTCTCGGGTCCTGGTCCTTACTGGCCTTGGAGGTCCAGGGCAAAAACATGGCTGTCCTCTCAGCCCAGTGACCTATTTAGTTCTGGTCTCCCAACCCTCAGTTCTTGAACATTCAGCAAGAGCAGACCAGTTTCATCAGTGGAAGAGTGGCAGCAGTTGATTTTATGACTTTATCTAGATATCCAGCTAGGGCACGTAAACGTCTGCCCTATTTTTTCATCACACTTACATTTGGCATGTACCTGCTGACATGTTTGTCTCCTTTGTCTATGGGTGCTAGACAGGAAGACGGGGTTTTCTGCAAGGTTCCCTCCGAGACCCCACCAACCCCCTGTAACCTGGCCAATCAAGAGATCTCCTGAGGAGAACGGGAAATTTAGAAGTCCCACGTGGATGCTCTTTGGCGTACACAGCCTGCAGAGCGGCTGGCACCCAAGTCTCCGTCCCTGAAGACAGCCAGACAACTCTGTCCAGAGTTGAAAAGCATCCAGGGCCACTCTCCGTTATGTGTGGGACCATCCTTCCCACACAGTCACCTCAAGGGCTGTAACAGCTGCAGCCTGGTACATGGGCAGCCAGCTCGAAACAGGGAAAAGCAGGTGTCTACAAGGCAAGTCTGCGATCCTCAGGATGAGTGGCCCAAAGACACTAGGCGCAGTGATGTCCCGCTCTGCCCAGGGGGCCGTGGCCTCTGGGCCACTGAGGAAGCCCACTGTGGCCAGGGGGCCGTGGACAGGCATTGCGAGGTCCAAGGGGCCGCGCGCACCCAACCCTCAGGGCTGTCCTGCCCATGCCCCTGCCCAGCGCCCTCGGAGGAGAGGCAACTCACGTGCTCCCGCATGGCCTTGGCCACGGTGGGCGACATCATCAGGCAGCACAGCAGGACGACCAGGATAAAGTAGAGCGCGTACATGAAGCGGGTGGTCCGCGACTGTCGGATCTTGGGGCAGCAGCCACAGCAGAGGGAGCAGCCCGCTGTCCCGCAGCAGCAGGCCAGCTGGAAGGGACACAAAGCACTCAGAATGCGAATCTCCAAGGTGACAGGAAACGCACATCACCCCCCTTTCCGGCTCCCACCTCGGAGCCCCCAGGCATGGCATGGCCGGACACCTGCGTCCTTTACCATAAAGCAGCAGGTACAGGCCCAGGCTGCCCCTCAGCTCTGCCAGCCGGTCCAGCACACAGTGGGACCCAAGGAAAGAAGGCGCTGCCAGTCTGCACCCAGGGGTAGGACTTGCACCTTGCAGCTTGTGCCTTGAGCCACAGGTCGGCACCAGCTCCAGATGTCCAGGGCCAGGGCTGGACTGGGCAGCAGGAGTCACACATAGAGCCTGTGTCACTGCGGCCCCCGCCTATGGCAGGCCCAGAACGAGCACCTCCAGGCCCCCATGCTGGGCATGCGGCCAGGCTCTCCCCAGAGTGTGTCTCACACATAGCGACCATGGCAAGCACCAAGGCGGGAGACAGCTGGAGATAAACAGGAAAGCCAGGCTTCCTCGGACAGATGGAGTCACCTCTCCAGACAGAAGAGGGAAAGGAAAGGGCCGAGAACTCCAAAGACGAGGAACAGGAAGGAGGAAGATGAAAAACAGGAAGAGGAACACCGGACCAGGGCTTGGGGACACCAGAGCCTGAGAGGAGCCGTGTGGAGCCTGGACTCTGCCAGCCACCACGCAGGGTGCACAGGAGTGACCTGAGGTACAGGGGGACAGGCGGGTCCTGAGCGGGCAGGCAGCCCCAGGGCCACTCAACCACATGACCACATGACCTCTACCCAAAGCACAAGGTGCGAGGGCACAGGTTCAAGGCCAGCGCGCCTGCTGGCTGTGGTGCAAGGTGTGCGCCCTGGGAGGGGACAAGGACTGCGGGGCCCACCCACGCATTGATGAAATAAAACAGACTTGGGTAACCGCACTCCTGTAGCAGCCTCTGGCACCCTCGTCCTGTGGGCTGCAAAAAACCTCACCAGGCACACTGGGTGAGTCAGAATCAACCAAATACATTACCTCGGCAGGCACGCAAGTCCCCGCAGAGCCTGCAGGTACTGACACCACCCCCGCGCCAACCTGCGCTCCCAGAAAGTCAGTCTTCGGAAGGGGGCCAGCTGGGGACTCAGAAGGCTCCCACACAGCACCAGTCAGAGCCCTGCCACAAGGGGGCAAGATCACAGGCACGGCAGAGGCCACAGGCAAAAGCGATGGTGTTGGGGTGGGGCTGAGGCAGGCAGTGGTCTGCACCATAGCACAGCCCCTGAACACCAGCCTGGGCGCCTGCATCACCTCGAGGTCTGCTCTGATCTCCCTCAGCTGTCTTCCTCACTGGCGAGTTATTCCACTCAGGCCAGCAGACCTGCACACGTACGGGGATCTGAGCACTGCCCCGAGTGGTGGGTTCTATGGGTTTGTCTTCCAGTACTGAGGACAGAACTCAGGGCCTCTGCACTACATTCCATCCCCAACCCTGCTCCCCCTTTTTGAGACAGAGCCTTGCTAAGTCCTGGACTCAAACTTGTGATCCTCCTGCCTTAGCCTCCCAGACAGCTGGGGTTACAGGACCACATGTATTTTTACGGGCTTCTTTATAAGCACTTACCCGTATTTTCAATCTCCGATTTTATTGACCTTTTTCACTAATGTGCCCTCTGGTGGCATGACTGTAGGCTCCACCTCCCTCCTCTGCCTGCCCATCCCTCCCAGTCCTCACCTCCTTGCTGCTGTCCGAGCCAAGCAGCCTCACTACACTTCAAGTTCAAATGCCATGCACAAAAGAAACTCTGGGGAGCAGAAGGCAGTGGCCTGGCTGTCCAGTGAGAGAGCCCGGTGGCTACCACCGCTGGGCACTGGAGAGGTCTACAGGCCTGGGGGGGGGGGGGGCAGGAGGGAAGGGG